GACGAGCAGGACAGGGCACATCCTACTGGCATCAGAGCACGGTTGATGAACGAAGGAGAGACTCATGGAAGAGTGCCGTCTGTCACTTTAGTGATTTAGACCACCTGAAAGGTGGCGGTCTTTTCAAAATAAAATAGACCTGCTGCTTCCTGTTAGACTCTGAAATAAAGAAACGTTTAAACAGCAGTAATCTATACAATTAAAACCAGATCTCTATATAAACTGAAATAGATTTTGTCACTGCGTGACATTAAATCTGAATCAAGGTTTTCCTTTTTTAGACTGTGTGTAAATCCAGAATAATGAGACAAGTTTCCACTTATTATGTCCATTTAATTGTAGGTTTTTCTATTATCTCTAACCTCATTTCTAGTCATCATTTATTCCAGTCCTTCTGATGAGCAGGTAATGGATACGGAGATGTCCTCAAACAAAACTGGATCCTTTCTTTTCAACATTATTTCTTCTATTTTCCATTGGGAAGGAAAAAGCTTATTCTGCACTGCGCTCCTCCATCACAGCCACATCCAGTCCCTCATTGGTTGTTGCAAAAGCTCAGGTTTCAAGCAACTGTCACTTGGCATCCATGGCAGGAGTTGTATTGCTAAGCACCGTCTGTCTCACTCCTATACCTATACATATACATATACATATACATATACATATACATACATACATATATATATATATACATATATATATATATATATATATATATATATATATATATATATATATATATATATATATATATATATATATATATATATATATATATATATAAAACCTTTAAATTTGGCTCTGGTCATCAAAGATGGGTTCCTTCTTAACACAGCTTAACTGAAACATGAAATTTGGATTTAGGACATGTTAGACTTGACTAGGGACTGGACTTTCGGGCATATAGTTGTGCTGTAATAACCTTTGGTTTAGTTTCCTGCCTTCATAGTGTTTCTGGTGTTTATTTCATAAAAGTCGCTGGCAGTTCAAAATGGGCCAACATGGGCCTACATAGGCTAACAGAGGCTAACAGAGGCCAACAGAAGCCAACTGAGGGCAACAGAGGCTAACAGAAGCTAACCGAGGCCAACAGAGGCCAACAGAGGAAAAAAGGGACCAACAGAGGCCAACAGAAGCCAACAGAAGACAACAGAGGCCAACGGAAGCCAACAGAAGACAACAGAGGCAAACGGAGGCCAACAGAAGCTAACAGAAGCCAACAGAAGCCAACAGAGGCTAAAAGAGGCCAACAGAGGCCATCAGGGACTGACATAGGCCTACAAAGGCCAGCAGAGGCCAACAGAAGCCAACAGAGGTCAAAAAAAGACAACAGAGGCCAACGGAGGCCAACAGAAGACAACAGAGCCCAACAGGACCAATAGAGGCTAACAGAGGCCAACATAGGCCAACAGGACCAACAGAGGCCAACAGAGGCCAACAGAAGTCAACAGAGCCCAACAGGACCAATAGAGGCTAACAGAGGCCAACAGAAGCCAACAAAGGCCAACAGAACCAACAGAGGCCAATAGAAGCTAACAGAGGCCAACATAGGCCAACGGGACCAACAGAAGCCAACAGAAGCCAACACAAGACAAAAGAGGCCAACAGAAGCCAGCAGTGGCCAATATAGGCCAAAAGAGGCTAACAGAGAACAAAACAGGCCAACAAAGGCCAACGGAGGCCAGCAGAGGCTAACAGAGGACAACAGAAGCCAATAGAGGCCAACATAGGCCAACACGAGCCCACAGAGGCCAACATAGACCAACAGAGGCAAACATGGACCAATGGAGGCCAACAGAGGTCATCAGGGACTAACATAGGCCTACAAAGGCCAGCAGAGGCCAACATAGACCAACAGAGGCCAACAGAGGCCAACAGAGGCAAACAGAAGCCAACAGAGGCCAACAAGAATCCAACAGAAGCCGACAGAGGCCAACAGCACCACCAGAGGCCAACAGAAGCCAACAGAGGCCAACAGAACCACCAGAGGCCAACAGAGGCCAACAGAACCACCAGAGGCCAAAAGAAGCTAACAGAAGCCAACAGAGGCCAACAGAACCACCAGAGGCCAACAGAAGTCAACAGAGGCCAACAGAGGCCAACAGAAGCCAACACAAGCTAACAGAGGCCAACAGAATCCAACAGAGGCCAACAGAACCACCAGAGGCCAACAGAAGTCAACAGAGGCCAACAGAGGCCAACAGAAGCCAACAGAGGCCAACAGAGGCCAACAGAACCACCAGAGGCCAACAGAAGTCAACAGAGGCCAACAGAAGCCAACAGAAGCCAACAGAGGCCAACAGAGGCCAACAGAACCACCAGAGGCCAACAGAACCACCAGAGGCCAACAGAAGTCAACAGAGGCCAACAGAGGCCAACAGAGGCCAACAGAAGCCAACAGAAGTCAACAGAGGCCAACAGAGGCCAACAGAACCACCAGAGGCCAACAGAAGTCAACAGAGGCCAACAGAGGCCAACAGAAGCCAACAGAGGCCAACAGAACCACCAGAGGCCAACAGAAGTCAACAGAGGCCAACAGAGGCCAACAGAAGCCAACAGAGGCCAACAGAACCACCAGAGGCCAACAGAAGTCAACAGAGGCCAACAGAGGCCAACAGAAGCCAACAGAGGCCAACAGAACCACCAGAGGCCAACAGAAGTCAACAGAGGCCAACAGAGGCCAACAGAAGCCAACAGAGGCCAACAGAAGCCAACAGAGGCCAAAAGAATCAACAGAGGCCAACAGAAGTCAACAGAGGCCAACAGAGGCCAACAGAAGCCAACAGAGGCCAACTGAAGCCAACAGAGGCCAAAAGAATCAACAGAGGCCAACAGAAGCCAACAGAAGCCAACAGAACCAACAAAGGCCAACAGCAGCCAACAGAACCAACAGAGGTCAATAGAGGCCAACAGAAGCCAACAGAGAAAACATAGGCCAACTTGACCTATAGAGGCTAACAGAGGCTAACAAAGGCCAACATAGGCCAATAGAGGCCAGCAGAGGCCAAGAGAAGCCAACAGAGGCCACTAGAATACAACAGAGGCCAAAAGAATCAACAGAGGCCAACAGCAGCCAACAGAACCAACAGAGGTCAATAGAGGCCAAGAGAAGCCAAGAGAGGCCAACAAAGGCTACCACAGGCTAACAGATGCCAACAAAGGCTGACAGAAGCCAATAGAGGCTTACAGAGGCCAACATAGGCCAACAGGACCAACAGAGGACAACAGAAGGCAATAGGAAGCCAACAGAGGCCAACAGAGGCCAACAGAACCAACATAGGCCAACAGGACCAACAGAGGACAACAGAAGGCAATAGGAAGCCAACAGAGGCCAACAGAACCAACATAGGCCAACAGAAGCCAACAGAACCAACAGAACCAACAGAGGCCAAATAGAGGCCAAAAGAGGACAACATAGGCTAACAGACGCCAACAGATGCCATCTTCACCAGTCGTTTTCCACAATGGCGGCCATACAAACAAAACAAGGCGGTAAGGAACCAAACAGGAGATACGCTTAGTGTAGAGCGGATGGAGAATTGACCATTCAGAGGCCTCCTGTCTGCGGCAGTGTCTGAGGTCACCTACAATTTTGGAGAGGTGCAGCAGAGTGTCTGTGGAACGGGGCGGGGCATATCTGCGTTCACTGAGACACGCAGACGACCTGGTTTCTGAGAATAAACAAGCCTTACAGATTAGGTCAAAGCCACCTGCTGTCAGCAAGCTCTGCACGGGTGGGATCTGCTGGACTCTTCAATCCTGTCAAACCAACCTGGACTTTACTTCTGAGCTTTCCTTTTTAATGATGAACCAGAAAAAACTTCTAAAAGCTAAATTGTTTTGCCGTCCTTTGAAAATGGCTGCTGTCTTTCACTGGATTTACAAAGCTTCACCATTTAGGACCCAGTTTGAGTCTAATTATAAAATGCTAATTCCAGCTAAGCTGTTGGCACCAAATTAAATCTTCACCATAAAATCTGGAAACTTCTGCAAAACACAACCGTTGTGTTTATGCTGAAATGTTTGGCTTAGCTGGAGAAATGCGTTCCCAGCATCGGCAGCTGGATGGCGCTGTTAATATGACTGCGGCCATGTTGGTCGGGGGGATCAGCAGTGGCCTCTGTGCTCAAACATCTGAAAGTTTGCCGTTTACTCGCCGTCTGCCTGGCAGCGCTTCCACACACCTACACGCCACATTCTCTGACTGCCTGACACTCATTCTGCAAACACATCTCTCTCCCTCCGTCTCTCAGTAAACGCTGAACGCCACACATCCCATAAGGAATCTATGTTTTCATAGGCAAATAGCAGCGCTCCCGTCACATGACCAACATCTCCAGTCGCCATGGTGACGCCCAGTGGCTCTCAGACCAGGTCTGAAACACGTGGTGGAGAAGAGCAGGAAGCAGAGGCAGCAATAAATGAATGAATGCTGTTCGTCTGTTCAGCCTTAGAAATAAACTTCAATTGATGCAAAAGTGTCAAAAGAAAGATCACAATTATCACCACTATTAACAATCAAGGAAAATTCAGATTTTCAATCATTGGCATCTTTTAACTGTTGTTTAAAACTCCATTGACCTTGACTCTGAAAAAAAAAACTGAATTATTCGGCTCAAATTTAGCAGAGTTGTTTTAACTAAGTGTTAAAGTCTATAATAAATAGAGGATTTATTTAAAATGTGCTCAAATGTAGCATTAGCCATCTGATGCTATAAACTACATGTTAGCATGAGCTAAACTTTGCCATAGGCTGCACATCTATGATAGAGATAGATATAGCAAAGACTTGGGACTGAGCCTTTGCATCTTTGCCTTGTCGTCCTCCTCTGAGGTCAGGCATTAGTTTATTTGGGTGGTTTTCTGTCGGGCTGATACAGAAAAATGCTCCAAAGGAAAAGCATCAAGCACCATCAGCTCTGACGGCTGTAAACTGGAGCCAGACAGGTGGAGGATAGACGTGTACGGGGTTTGGCTCTAGAACACATATATCTACCTACCTTTGCAGGTTTTGCCATCAGGCTGCAGAGTGAACCCCACAGGACAGCTGCAGCGTACCCCGGTGGCGGTGTCCTTACAGGTCCGGTCACAGCCGCCATTGTTTACAGCACAGCTCTCTAAAGAGGATGAAAGAGACAAATGACCGGCGCTACACTTCATTAGCATAATCACTGAAGATTTATCAGAACTGGACATGATGCCGTAAAAGAAAAGGCTTCATGTGATGGAAGAATCCAGACCCTGGATGTTATGACATCATGTTCCTCCCGTCTAGAGAGTCAAAACTTATTCTTTCTACAATTATACAAAAAGGGCTTTTAGAGAAATAAGTTATCTGACACAAAAAAAACGAAACCAGGTAAAAAAAATAAAGAAAATAAATGTGGTTTATTGAGTGGTGCTAGCATAGAACATCCTCAGCTGGAGCAGGGGGAATATTTTTCTCCTGAAAAATGTTCTTGTTGGTGGTGCAGATGAGGTTTGCTGGGACTTGTGGATATTACCTAAAACAAACACAGGCCGATGGTAACTCTAGCTTAGCTACTAAGCTACTGTTGCTTTAAGCAAAGCTCAGTCAACGTCTTTCCAATGAGGGTCGGGAATCGCTGAGGAGGCTGAAATTTGACATTGAGTCATGTTTGTTGAAAGGGATTCATTAAAGCTACACCTTTATAAAGAGGTTTTTCTTACTAACTGCCTGCTTTCGCTGGACTCCAACTCATATATTCAAGAGAAAATCCTAGTTTGAGCAGAACTTTTACATTTTCTCATCAACTGTCAGATTCAAAACACAATTTTTAAATCCAATCCCCCGGGATGATCTGTTGGAATTTAGAGGGCTGTTGCGGAATAACAGCACCGTGTTATTTGGCGACGTTTCCCAAAACTTTTGGCACCGCTCAATTAAAATGTCAAGAAGGCATGTGCTTACGTCAATCGAACACAGTAGGAAAAATAAATACATACATTGTTAGAGGTTAATGCTGAAGCACAGGAAAGATCAGAACCAGTAAGCAATGTTAGGCATCTAAACGTAGGTCAGTTTGCTCATGCAAACCCAAGAGTATCACTCCCCTATTATTGTCCATAATCAAGCAGTCCTAGTTCACACTGTTTATATCTTAGTAAGGGAGACAGGATTAAACTAGTTTAAAGGTCAGAATTTTCTAGAATAAAGGCAACGAGTTTCCTTGATGATGAGCTGGAGGAAGGGAAGACACTCCATCATGTAGGCAGCCTGTTGGTCAGGTAGCCTACGAGCACTTTCCAGGTTCGACTGTTGGTCTGTTCTCCTGTGTCTGCATCATGTTTGGGTCTACATGCCCAAACAGGTGGATATAATCAATAAGACTCTCAATGTAAGACTACAGGTAAATGTGTAGATTTCTAGAGTGTGTAGGTGGTGTTTATGGGACACAGTGATTTATGCTGAGTACAGTGGGCCCTGTCATTAGCTGAGGTCCTGCAGAGCCCCTCTCTGTGGACCACGCCCAGCCGAGCCCCAGGGCCAAGCTAAGCGTAGGAACAGAGACAAACCGCTAGGCCTGATTGATGTGCTGGACAAGCCTCTCACACCACCCTCAGCCCTCTTTTCCAAGCCTCTTTCACTACAGTTTGAAGTAGACCAGAGACCTGGGAAAATGTGTGTCAGGACAGATTTAAAACATATTTACAGTCAGAAACGTTTCAAACCCTTAAACTGAACAGTATCAATGATAATATGATAAACATGATGTCCTTTCTCTTGTTTATTGTTTGTCTTAATTAAAGACCCATCTGTGCGCCTTATAAGCAAAATGATTCCGTTTCTAAGAGTGGCTGCCCCATGGCTGAAAGGTTTTTATGAAGTTGCCATGGTTGTTCAGTCCCTAAAGAGCAGCTCCAAATGAACAGGAGTTCCTCACCAAACCAGGTGAAGGAAGCTGTGATGATGTTCAGTCTGACATTAGAGGAGGTGGCGCTTCCAGCTATGGAGCTGCAGGATGAAGACACTCATTTTAAAGGATCCTTCATCTCTACTTTCACTGCTTGGATATAATATATATTCTGCTGATTGATTACTGATCATATTGGTATATTGCTGTTTTTAAAGGCTTCCAGAGCTCCCTGTTCACAAAATAAAAGACCTAATAATGAGGATAGGTATCCTCCATATGCATCTGAGTTGATATTTTCAAAACTCTTGTCAAAGATAATTTTTTTTTTTTGCTTTTAAAAAACAATGTTTACATTGTAGTATAAAAGATTCTTAAGAAAATAAAAGCCTGTATTAAGAGAGTTTTCTATTTCCTGATTGCGCAGTGTAACCTTTGCAGATTGACACCATTATCGCCGCCCGGCACATCATGAGAGGATAAATTTATCCAAAGGTTCGCCGCATCCCCCTGCCGCCCCGCCAAGGCAGCAAGAGGCTCATTAGCCAGCTACTTTCAGCAAATATCCACACATCCTCATTATTTAGCTCAAAAGAAAAAAGTATTTTATTCACTTTGCTTGACGTCGTTTTTGGTGTTATTATGCTAAACAGGTAAACGGCCGCATGCCGAGTTAGTTCTGAAATAGTGAACATTTACCTGAAATGACTGATCAATCATTTTCACTATCACTGTTTTTCATGTATGCCTTAGAAAACCAACATGTTTGTTTCATTTATAGTGATAAAACAATGAAACATTTTCCGAATGCATGATATACCTGAAAAAAATATTTTTTTCCAAATGTTTGTCTCATGTTATTTTCCAACCTCTGTTTATTACATCCATATAACCTATAATTATAATGATGTACTGTATAGTCCAGACCAGTAGGTGGGAGAAATGCCAGATTAGCCAGTAGGAGCAGAGCTGCAAATTAGGTCAAGTTTGAGGAGACAGAAAAATTACTTATTCGCTCTGGATTTAAGGTAATTCTTTGCCTGAACTTTTATATCATGAGGCTTGATCTGATTCCAAATGAGTTGCACAAACTTATATGTGCAAAAAAATCAAATAAACTTAATTGATGTGCAGCTGTTGATCTATAAAGATTGGGCGCTCAATGAAAAACAATGACGTCTTAAAGCACAACCAGAACTTGCTGAAAAGATTTTTTCTTTCCACTTTGGTTCTGGAAATACTTTGGATTCAGCAGAACGATCTTTAAAAGTGTGTCTGGGGCAAGAGATCATCTTGATTACCTATCTATGCGTTTACCCAAACATTCCCAATCCCAGATTAGGGGATGATTGATGGCCGGCATACTGATCTTCAGATAAGAGCTTAATTCCAGGTGCTAAATGCCGTGAGCAAAGAGCTAATCATGGATGCTAATGGTGAGCATGCAGGCAAAGATAGACTACCGCTCTTTTAGAATGAGAAAAGGTGGTCTGCTAAAAGCTATGTTTGAGTGGTGGTAAAAGACAGTTGGATGAGTTGGGGGTGATACTAATCATAAGCGTATCATTTTATTCCACTTTAAGTGCATCTCAAAGTCCGACAAACAAAATAAGAAACTATAATACGGATAAGTTAAATATCAATCATAATACCTGGAAAAGCTTCATTAATTCCCTGATTATATTCAGGAAGGCAGCCACTGTGAGACTAATGGTGAATCAGAGCATGAAAAACTGCAAACAGGTGCAGGTGAGTTACCCCAGCAGGTGAGTTATCCCAGCAGGTGAGTTACCCCCGCAGGTGAGTTATCTCAGCAGGTGAGTTATCCCAGCAGATGAGTTATCCCAGCAGGTGAGTTATCCCAGCAGGTGAGTTACCCCCGCAGGTGAGTTATCCTAGCAGGTGAGTTACCCCAGCAGGTGAGTTATCCCAGCAGGTGAGTTATCCCAGCAGGTGAGTTATCCCAGCAGATGAGTTATCCCAGCAGGTGAGTTATCCCAGCAGGTGAGTTACCCCCGCAGGTGAGTTACCCCCGCAGGTGAGTTATCCCAGCAGGTGAGTTATCCCAGCAGGTGAGTTACCCCCGCAGGTGAGTTATCCCAGCAGGTGAGTTACCCCAGCAGGTGAGTTATCCCAGCAGGTGAGTTACCCCTGCAGATGAGTTATCCCAGCAGGTGAGTTATCCCAGCAGGTGAGTTATCCCAGCAGGTGAGTTATCCCAGCAGGTGAGTTATCCCCGCAGGTGAGTTATCCCCGCAGGTGAGTTATCCCAGCAGGTGAGTTACCCCAGCAGGTGAGTTACCCCAGCAGGTGAGTTACCCCCGCAGATGAGTTATCCCAGCAGGTGAGTTATCCCAGCAGGTGAGTTATCCCAGCAGGTGAGTTATCCCCGCAGGTGAGTTATCCCCGCAGGTGAGTTATCCCCGCAGGTGAGTTACCCCAGCAGGTAAGTTATCCCCGCAGGTGAGTTACCCCAGCAGGTGAGTTACCCCAGCAGGTGAGTTATCCCAGCAGGTGAGTTATCCCAGCAGGTGAGTTACCCCAGCAGATGAGTTACCCCAGCAGATGAGTTATCCCAGCAGGTGAGTTATCCCAGCAGGTGAGTTATCCCAGCAGGTGAAGTACCCCAGCAGGTGAGTTATCCCAGCAGGTGAGTTACCCCAGCAGATGAGTTACCTCAGCAGGTGAGTTATCCCAGCAGGTGAATTATCCCAGCAGGCGAGTTATCCCAGCAGATGAGTTATCCCAGCAGGTGAGATATCCCAGCAGATGAGTTACCCCAGCAGATGAGTTATCCCAGCAGGTGAATTATCCCAGCAGGTGAGTTATCCCAGCAGGTGAGTTATCCCAGCAGGTGAGTTACCCCAGCAGGTGAGTTATCCCAGCAGGTGAATCATCCCAGCAGGTGAGTTATCCCAGCAGGTGAGTTATCCCAGCAGGTGAGTTATCCCAGCAGGTGAGTTATCCCAGCAGGTGAGTTATCCCAGCAGGTGAATCATCCCAGCAGGTGAGTTATCCCAGCAGGTGAGTTATCCCAGCAGGTGAGTTATCCCAGCAGGTGAGTTATCCCAGCAGATGAGTTATCCCAGCAGGTGAATTATCCCAGCAGGTGCGTTATCCCAGCAGATGAGTTATCCCGGCAGATGAGTTATCCCGGCAGGTGAATTATCCCAGCAGATGAGTTATCCCAGCAGGCGAGTTATCCCAGCAGATGAGTTAACCCAGCAGGTGAGTTATCCCAG